ATTCTCATAAATGATTAGTAGGGGTATGGAAACAGTTCTTATTCAGTCTTTAAGTTTTATTGTGGCAATCAGTAGTTAAATCTCCTTTCAGGCCCTTGTGGATTTTAGTGCAGAGTATTCGTGAGCAATTTTTGAGTGTAGCTCATGTGCAGCAACACTTCTCTGTTTCTTGGAAAAGGTGTAACTATTTAATGACAGTTCAGCTGGAGCAGACTCACCGCTTTTAGCTGATCCTTTTACAGCCCACTCTCTCAGGCTACTTCCCCATCTCTGAACTATGTCCATTTTTGAAACAAAAGCCTTGATAAAGCAAAAAAAAACCAACCCTCCCCCTCCCCCCCCCAAAAAACAACAAAAAACAACAACCAAAAAAACCACATTAGTATGTATGGAATGCTGTTTTCAAACGAAGTATGCCTCAGTATCCTGCTGAAGTAAGTCCCAGATTTGTGCAGTGCACTGTAATGCAGGAGGAAGCATGTAACTGCTGCTCTGCCTATAGGTCAGGAGTCGTCTAAAACACCTCCAAGCCTTCTTAGGATGCAGGGTTGAATGAAGAAGAGAGGGCAAAGCTGCTGGCATGGAAAGTGCATTGAAAGGTGGTGGTGATGGGAAGGACAGCTTTGTGACAGCCGTTGGCAGTCACCACGCTGGAGCTTTTTTGGTGTAGAAGGTCACAGCACTTTGTTGCCCTTATTGCTGTCTGAGGTTTTTGGGCAATTGTAGCTGGCTAGCTGACCCTCTGGGTTTACATACAGGCTCTGTGCAGTGTTGAGGACTGGTGGTGATGTTCAGAACGCGTGCTTCTTAAATTATACATCATTATGAGGAGCACATAGCCAATTAGTACATGGATTTGTTCTGCTTGTGCAAATCTTTTCTTGGGCTAAGGAAGTGTCATACAGAGACTTGGCTGAAGAAAAAAAGAAAATAGTTTAATCTTAAAAGGTAATTGTCATCCTCCAGCTAATGATAAGCAATATTACAGCCTGCATATCAGCTGTAATTAAGCGGAGAGACACAACAAGGTGTATGTTACACAGAGATAACACGGTGTTTAGGAGCCAGTGACCTGCAAAGCACATTATCTCCCAGCTGCACAAGCCCCACAGCCCGTGTGTACATGTGAGCCAGCAAATCCACTGTCCCCTCTTCCCCTGCCTTCGCTCTGCTTTCTAAGGTGCAAAAAACTGTGAAGGATATTCCTATTTCTTGTTGTGTCTCATGATGCTTTTTTAAAAAACTCTTTTTACATACATACATACATACATACATACATACATGCAAGTCAACTTCTGTATGTGTAAGAAGCCAGGGCGAAAGATTCTGAGGAGGCATTCATTGGAGTTGTGGGAAATCACTTAAAATGGGGCCCATCAGTGCTTTGTGAGACACGTAGGTGTGCAGCATGCAGGGAAGGATTCTCACTGATGATGCAAGTACCAGACTGACAGTAACTCTTAATTTGCTCCAAGAAAGATTTCGTGGTGTTCTCAAAGATAGAAGAGGGAGTTTTCAGCTGGAACATCATGTTAGATGAATCTTGTTTTAAAGTAGCATTGATTTTTGGTTAGAATTAAGGACTGGAAGTGTGAAGCTTGTACTGCTTGTACTCAGCATGAAAATCTTTCCTATCAAGATGCCATTTCTATGTAAATGTCCTCAATAGACTGACTAAACCATGATCCTGCATGAATGACTGAATTGAAACCAGGGCTGACAGTGTGGGGTAAGCACTGATAAAAAGCACCTCAAGAAAGGGAATGAGGACATCTAAGTCCTGTTAGTTTGAGGAGGAAAACACACAGCTTCTGTTAGGTAGCACAGGAACCCCTTAGTGTAGAACTGGTGTTGGAGGAAGGAACCTTGGAGAATGATAGCTCCCAACAGCAACAGAAAACAGGTGAGCTGGGATGACGTTGGTTTTGTCCTGCTAAGTGTGATCAGTTTGCTGAAGGAAAGGGGGAGGGATGGGAGCCTTTCGTACAGTCTCACCTCTGAGGAAGGCCACATGCATATCTTTGCTAGGTTTCATTGGCATGTTCCTGGTGCAGGATGAATGCCTATGAGCATGTGAGGTTTCATTTTGGAACAAGTGGATATATGAGACTTCCTCCTTATATTTTTCACACTAAATTGTGCAAGGCAGAAAACTTTGTTGATCCAGAAAAATGGAAGGATAGTTGTCTTGTAGCTGGAGCCATTCTGTACATTGTCAGATGCAGAGAAAGGTTCTTTGGACTTAAATAGCACTTAGCCTGTCTGGATGCTGGTTTCAATTGGACATCCTAGATATTACTGTAATAAAAATGTAAATAAAGGAAGTTAGGCTTGATATAAGAGCAGAGAGACAAAGCAGAGGCACTAGGAACAGCTGTCTGTTCCTCAGAGCCCTTCTACTGGGTGAGACTGTTTCTGATTACAGCTGCAGCACTGTAAATGCCTGCTAGATGTCTGGTGATAATCCATTGAAAGCAATTACAAGGCATCCGTCACCAGCAGGGTCTGAGCCACAGGCCTCTTATCTGGGAAAATTGATGGAAGAGAAAGAGGCAGTGGGGGAAGAAATCAATGCCTTTCACCAATGTTATCTGCCAAATTGAATTAAGCAGCGTGGGATCCCAGCTTTATACACTGTGAGAGTCAGAACTTAAAGAATCTGTTTATAGTGAGCTCGATGGTGGGCAAGGCAGGTGAGGGATGGACGCTTTCACTTACCTGCAGTTCCATCCATGCCTCCTAACATCAGCAGCACTTCTGTGTGCAGAAGAAGTCCAGAACTCAACATACAGAACGCTTAACCTCACGGCACCGCTTCCAGATGTGAACCTCGTGTCTTCTTGAGGTCAGAACGTACCATTCCAGTTCTATTCTAATGGAGTGTAGAGAAGGCAACTATGATGATGATACAAGCAGAGGTACAATAACTAGTTCTGTTTCTAAGCATGCAATGAAACTATTGCTTAAAAATGATCTGTTTATTGAACCTTTTGGCAGTGCACTTGTGGTATGTAGAATGTAATCCAGGACTGAGAGCTATAGAAAGTCATCAAGTCTGGAGTTCATGGGCAGGGGCACGCTGCAGATGGTGGGGTTTTTTAGTTGCTTTTTGAGCCCGCGGGGTTGGGAGGGTGCAGGGTTAGGATGGCTGACTGGAAGTGGCCCAAGGGATGTTCCATAGTGTCTGACATGTGGAAGGAGCTTTGGAGGGGGTGGGACTTCATCTCTTCTGCTGCTCGGGGGTAGCTGGGCATCAGTTGTGGGGTGGTGAGCAAGTGCTTGTGCATCCATCTCTCCAGATAGTCTTAGCTATTTTCCTCCTCCTTTATCTTAGTAAATATTTTATCTCAACCCACGAGTTCTGCTTTTATTTATTTATTTATTTTAATTATTCTTTCCCCCATCCCACTGGGAAGAGGGGAAGTGAGTGAACGGCTGCGTGGAGCTCAGCCACCTGCTGGGTTAATCCAGCAGATGAAGTGTGCAGATCTTATTTATTTATCTCTTTATTTTAACAAATCTTTGCAGCAGTAACCCTGATTTTTCCTTTGGTCTTTGTAAGTTCAGTAATTTTTCTGTGGTTTCTTCCTGTCCTGCCCGTGTGATGGTGGTGGTTGTTGTAGCTCATACGAACGACAGAGACAAGAGTAGTCATTAGTGATAAGAGATGGAAAGGCCAGAGAACTGAGCTACCAGGCCAGAATAGGCTTTGGGGAATTATTTAGGAGCATGAAATTCTCAAGCTTCCAGATTAAGGAGCTGACTCAGCAGACAACAAATACAAAAGTAAATCCAAGAAGATGAGCCAAGAAAACCCACGGATACTGTACAGAACAATTCAACTCAATCAGTTCAGCACAGAGATCTGTGGAAGCTTTTTTTCCTCCCCAACACAAGTCTGTGAGAATTTGCATTGCAGTCAGGTATACTTAAAGTGCACATAAGCCATCTAATAAAAATTCCACTGGAGTGTACGTCACACAGCTGGGTTTTATTATATTTGTGCTCTCTTCCCACTGACAGTGCCTTTATAACTGGATTACTCACATATCATCATTAACTGTGACACTCCTGGGTTTTTACTGCTTCCCTGGTTCCTATCATCTTCTGCAAGTTTTATCCCTTCCTTGCAGATGTGCCAAGATGTATTTCTTTAATATCTTTTCAGCAGATGAACATGGGAGCACATAAAAAGTGTGGTTTGGACACCGTGGGCAGCAACAAGAGCTGTCTTCATTTCTGTCCCAAATCCCTATCAAACCTCTGCCCTGTATGTGCGCTGAGTTTTCCCTTTGCTCCATCTGTTAGGTATAAATAAGGGTTGGAAAGGAGCGAGACACAGTGCTGAGCTCTTGTTTCTGGTTTTGATATTTCATGGCCATTTTTACCATTTGTCCTCCATCCAAGTGCTTTCGTCGAATACATGCACCATGTTTGCAATTGGTGGCTTTAGGAACGTGTGACTTTGCCCTGTATTTTAGAGAGCAGTCCCCTTGCTCTGGTTACTGTGTGCAAGTGGATATTTCGAGTGATACAGTGATGAAACTATCCTGGTACCTCTTGAACTGCAGCTGTGTGGGCAGAGGCAGGTTGCCAAAGGAAAAGACTACAGAAGTCCAGGAAAGGTGAGGAAATGGAGAGAAAGCAAAGCTTTGCATGGGCGAGCGAGTATCCTGGACACCTCCATTTCTTGCTGCCTGCTAAGAAACTGACAGGCACCTAACTTGATGGTGTTGGAAAATGCACTTGTTCTCAGCGTGGCCCCAGCTGTGTGTCTCAACTCACAAACCTCTTCTGAACGCCTCATTTAGGATGTGACGTTAAACTGGCATCCTTGTTACAGCTAGCAAATCAGCAGCTATGGATTTCTCTTAATCATTTTCGTTTCTGTATGTAAGCAAATTAGTATTTAAAATAATAATAAAAAAAAGATAGTAATTGTGTGTATTACTTTGGGTTTTGCCAACATTGACCTGTGTCTCCATGGTCTTCTACTACAGCAGCCATGTATTCATCCTCCCTCCAAAGGACGTGAACTCAGAACTGCGGAGGAGGCGAACGATCTGCAGGGGTCTGCTCCATGCGTTGGTGCCTGTGATGTGGGTCAGTGCAGTGAAAGCTCCTGGAGTGCAGAGCAGCCAGATGAATTTGGGATAGCTGCGTAGGGATAGTCCAAGAATAAGGACAATGTCCAACAGCACTGGGAGCTGGATGCAGACATCTGAGACTGCCGTATGTGCGGCCAGGCCTGACTTCCAAGTTAGCCTCAGCTAACTTCAGAAAATGAAACAAACACGATTTACTCCCAGATTTATTTGAAAACTGTCTTGAGTTTGATGTCCTTATCTGAGCTGGGAACCTGGCTCTAACCCAGGACTGCATCACAACAGTTCTGTCTCAGTGCTGGGCGATGGGTGAGCTTGAAGCTTCCTGCTCTGGAAGGTAACTCTGTCTTGTCCTTCTCTACTTGCATAATAATTTTGAATTATTGCTACACTGTTCTTTATCAGTGTAGTAGGATCCTTTCAATCTGTGTCTAGGTTAATTTACTGATTTGCAGTGCAATGGTAAATGAGGTTGAGGACTGTCACTCTATTCCTAAAGGAAGGAATTCTGCTGTGTCCTGTTGAGAAATTGAGCTGGGAGTGTGACTGCTGGTTGTGCCCACTGCTAATGTCCAGGTGGTAGAAACAGGAAATAAACCAACACCTTAGAAAACAAGGCCAGATGAGTCAGAAATAAGAAGTACCATTTTTTTTTTAAGCTTCCTTTGATCATTCTCTGGCTTTTCCACTGTTTTACAAGGGCACATTAAGAAATGTACCAGAGCTGTGGAAATTCTGCAGCCATTTCTCAGAAAACCATGAGAGAATTACTTTAACATATGTTTCCATCTCCTGCTTTTTGCATTTTTCCCCTCTTGTATTTCTTTTTCTTTGACCTGGTACAAACTTTTATGCGCTTACACGTCTCCTCTTCAAAGGAAATGTACTGAATCCACTGTTAGGATTTTCCTGCAAAGAGGTGCGCATCATTTCTAATTGAATTCCTTTCTTCTATCAGTATTGCCACGTGCAGACCTGAGAATGCCTGCCTAAGTGGTGCCTCAGAGCCTCATGGCAGGGCTGGCTGGTGCTCTGGTTGCTTGTGGGCCTGAGAGCGTTTAAAGCAGTCAGCCTTTTTTTCTTTTTTTGGATGCTAAAAAAGATAAACCATGGCAGGAAATCCGAGCTTCCCTCCAGCATCTATGACAATTTAATGCCACTTCCACCCATAGGCAGAAGGGGTTTTGTGTTTTTTTTTAGGGTGTGTGGGTGTGTAGCAGATGAATGCATGGCTACATTGCATGATCTCAAAACTGGAACACAAGGAATTGGCTTGCAGGCTAAAAAAGTTTGCTGTTTGACAGAATATGACTCGTCCAGATCTATATGCACGCATGCAATAAATATACATATAGTATTATTAGCACATAATAATAAATTGTTCTGTCATCAGACTTGTGAGGTGGCTCATGCCATGTGAAGACATCTGGCCCATGTTAGTCACGAGCTTTGTGTTTGTTTCTCCGCAGCTACAACAGCCTGAGCCAAGCAGCCCCACAGGGAACCTGCTGAGGGCGCAGAGCTCGTGCTCAGCCCTCACCTCTTCCACACCTCTCCTTCAGCACAAGGCAGAGCACATCTCCAGCCTGCAGATCTCCAGGTGAGTCTGGCGTTCTGTTAGCACTGCTGCTGCCCAGGGATGTCTGTTTGATCTGCTGGGTCTGAGAGGCTCAAGGAAAGGAAGCACAGCTGGCACTGGTGCCTGCCCAGGCCAGGCAGTGTTTGGTGTTGGTGCTGTTACCTCTGCTGCTGCTCTAGGTAAATATATTGTCACCTGGGAAACTGTCACAAGGGAAATGACAATCTGAACGAGTTGTGTGTGTGCGTTTGCATAGCAGAGTTTCTGCCTGTTGTAGTGTTTAAATTAGACTGCTTTGATAAGTCCTGACTTCTCACACACAGATCCCTCACACCTTTCCAGACACCTCTCACGTCTCTGACATCTGTCCTGAACAATGAGGGCCCAGCTGCAAGCAGAAAAAACTCAAAAACCATTGCATATCTATTTATTTTTTTCTGGACAAACAATTTTATTTTAGGTAATGCGTCTATACACTGTACATTCAGTCACTGTGGTATATAAGCATAGCTATTTTCATACATAATCTCATAAAGTCCTTTATTTTACAATATTATCTGCTTCGAGGGGAGGGGATGTGGAAAAGGGGGTGGAAAAGGACTATCAAGGTACACAGCGAAATAGATAAATATGCCAAGCTTTTTTCTTATTTTTTTTTTAAATCAGGCATTTATAAACAAGAAAGCATACATTACTTACATAAAAATAGTTCTAGAATAGTAGAGTAAGTCATAATATTGTCATTAGCAGCAGCATAGGAGAGACCAGGATAACAAAAATGTGCTGAAATGCTATTGGCTATTATAAATGTATAGATTTATTTTTCTTCAATTGAAAAAATGTCATTTCTGTGATTTTTCATTAAAAAAAAAAAAGAAATAAAAGAAAAAAAACCCAAAACAATAACAAAAAAACCAAACCAACAAAAAAGTCTTAAAACATCTGGGCTGATTCTGAGGGGAGGGCAGAACAGAAAGAGAAATCAATCTTTTGGTAATAAAATACTTTACAGTGAAAACATGGACAAATAAAATGCAAATGATGGAGGGAGGTTAAACCCACATTGAAACTCGCAAAAAGATTTTTTGTGGTTTTGTTTTTCCTAACAGACAGCAAAGGTTCTTCTTAGTTAAAAACACAACTCATAAAACAAGACAGCTACCAGGTAAGAAAGAGTTTTGAAAAAGTAAACACCATATACACTTATAATACAACAGTGTAAAATGAAAAAAAGTATTTACATGTTGAATTTACTGTTAAGTTTTTTTTACATTGGCTAGTTCTGTTTGAAAAGCAGAATATTATGTTATACTATTAGCTGCTCCAAAGATATGAATGTTATTGCTGTTGGTTTTTTTTTTCCCTTCGTTAAGTCTTCTTTCAGTAATAGAAACAATGCGTGATTAAACTGAATATACAAGTAATATATTTTTAATTACAGGGAGAGTCAACAGCCTGTGTGAAACACCTCTTCTCCCTTTTAACTTCGTAAAGGAAACTAGAGAGCAGATGGAGTGAGAAATGGCCTCTACAGTTCCTACACCTGCGGACTGAGCAGTGAGTGAGAGCTGCCCCACGGCAGGGCAGCAGACACAGAAATTACACACAGAACCCCTCACCTCAACACCTCCAGCACGGCTTCCCCTGAAGGCTCCCCCCGCTTGGAGAGACGTTTTTAGAAAGTGTCTCTATGGCTTCATACTGACAGAATTACTGTAAAAATAAATTACATACACAGGAATTCTGAATTAGAAAATAATTATTTCTGCAGAACGTATCAAGATTTCACTGCAAAAGCATACTTAGGAAAGACACACAATGATTTACAGTTCCTATCCTGTAAAAACTCCCCTGTCAATTAACTGCTGGTGGAAAGGGGTTGCTGTCAGCCTCTGTGCACCTTATTCAATCACAATGATTTGTAAACCTGATTTTGCAGACGTTTTTTACTAGGGTGTTTCCATTCCCTAGAATCAAACGCTAATAAGTCTTAACTTCAAATGCTGTGATTTAGTCACGTTTTACACTTCATTGTAAGACATGGCAAAAGAAGAAGCCGTGCTTTTCTAACAATAGTACATAATTCATAATGTAATTCATTTTAGAAAGATTTCTTGCAAATCTCATCTGATCTATGTGAGAAACAAAGATGATGATGGTGGTTTGACAGCTAAGAAAAATGTTTCTTATTAATTTTTTTTTTTTCTTCGAGGAAAAAAAAAAGCAGAATTCATTGATGTTGGAGGGTAAAAGCATCATATGCACAGAAGTTGTGGCAGTGAGTCACTATCCTTCCTGAGACACGAAATAAATAGTGCCATGTGCTACAGGTCAGTGGGCGCCGCTCCTGGAAGGAAAAGCAAAGGGAGAGGGCTGTGCTGCCCATGAGTGGGTGAGTCACAGAAAACAACAGTATCTGAAAAGGCAGATTTCAGGAATCTGATATTGGGGTGAGAACAGATGTGTTCTATGTGTAATTTCTTGACACGGCAGCAAAACGTAGCAAACGGGAGACTTCTGAAATGCACAATGATCAACTAAAGCTAAAATTGTTCAGTTTCCCTTGAAGAAATCAGTGAATAATACAGATCTGGAAATCATAAGGCTGAGAACATTTTTATGCATACTGCATAACAAAATAAACCCTTTACATAAGACAGTAATAATGCCCATTAATGAATATACATATGGCAGAGATTTTAATTCCATGCATATGATTTAATAATTGCAGAGAAAAAAAAAAAAAAAACATACAAAGAAGCAAAAAAAAAAACAAAACAAAAACCCACATTAAAAAAACCCAACAACGTTGCCTAAGCATAATCAAAATCCTTTTGCATTGCACTTTAGAAGAGGAGTTCTGCATCCAGCCTCAGGCTCCAGCATCCCACGCACAGGGCCAAGCCCTGCACAACCAGGCAGGTTTGTGTCATTTATTTGCTGTCACTGTTTCTTGCTCCCAACAGTTCTACATTGTCCCAGTAATTCTACTCCTTTCATATTTCTTCTTTTTGTACCTAAAACGTATATATGAACTTCTCTGTTAATGCTCACAGTTACTATAATGGTTATTATAATGGTTTCAAGCAAACAGCTCTTGTTTAAAACAAACAAACAACAACAAAAAACAAACAACAACAAAAAACCCTCTAATGTACTGTAAGTAAATACTGTAATTTTAGGATTGGAAGCCGCTTTCTGTCTACAGGGAAATAATTTTTAAGCTTACATAGTTTGCATTAATGTCCAAAAGCAAATAAAGATTACTGGAAATACATTTCTTTGTTTAGAATAACTTCTGGGTATGATGATGCATAGGAATTTTTTTTTTTTCTTTTTATTCTTAAAGTTTAAAAAAAAAAAAAAAAAAAAGTCAGCATTGCCTATAGAAGATGCTGAGAGGAAAAATGAGCTGGAAGGCACAACTGCAGCCCCAGATCAACTTTTCACTGAGCTTGAGTGTATCAGAGGTGAGTGTGTGTGGGTGAAAATAACTTCTCTGTCATTCAGTAAAGCACCAACTGAATTTGAGCACTTCCCAGCCTCGACAGACACAGCTGTGAAACCCTTTGTGCTTGGTAGCGTTCTGTACCCACTGAGTTCCCCTTCTGCACACATGGAAATGACGGTGCGTGGTGGAAATGGTGGTGATGATTTTAACATCTGCAGAGTAGAATCGAGAATGCTTAACTTGTAAACTTCCAAAATTTGGAATAAAATGCAGAGTAATGTTCTGACAAAGTGCAGTTTAAAAAAAATTAACGACGACGACAATGACAGTAAGAGTAAGACAAAGTGATGCTATGCTGCATTTTTATTCCGGGGCTGCGGCTTGGATCCCAAAATTAAAGTAATTTCTATTTTTAAAAACAGAAGTTTTTCTTTTAAAAAAGATGTAGGCTTATTCACAGCAGCAAAAGTGTCGTTCTTCTGTTCTGCAGTATCCAGTAATGCGATGTTGCACTCTCCTTGGGCACAGAAATCCTGACAAACAGTTCAGAATAAAAGTAGGTAAATACTGAATTCTATGGTAAGATGGTGCAACAAAGATGAGTCTTCCAGAGAACCGAAAGCTGATGCGAAGATTTCAGAATGACTTCAAAACACATCTTCTGCTTTATTTCTCAACCAACTTAACAGATCATCCATTTCCTTCCTTTACTTCTTTCTTTTCCTAAAGCTGAAGTGCTCTTGGATGAAGTGCGTCTTTTGAACACATCGATTAATGAGATTAATGAGATTAATTTCTGTAGAAAATATGGTGTGATTTGAAACACTGAAGGCTGTAAGGCTGGGTTTGTAATTCTGAAGCGTCCATCTTCTCTTCCTGCCCCCCCACACCCTTACAATCCTGCATCTTCCTTTCTTCTTGTGTTCAGGACAGGAAATGAAGGTGATTGTTTCTAAGGAAAAAATCAACTTTGAAAAGCACTCTGAAATTCTCATACAACCACAGGACAGGATTAAAACTGTGATGGCTTCCTAAACGGCTGGAAAACTGCTAATGAAATGGCATCATCACCAAAGGGCTTCTGCGTTAAGAATCCCAAAGCCTTTAATGAGTCATAAAAATTGTGCATCGAAGGTTTTTGTTTTGCTTTTAAAGGTTCATTATAAAAAATCTTGTTAATTTTTTTAATACCAAGTCTGTGTAATGAATTACTTTAAATAGCTTATAAGAAAAGTTTGTTTTTAAATTCCAAAATGTTCCGACAGGCAGAAGGGCAACATAAAAACACTGCCATGCTTGCCTTTTTCTCTGATTCTAGTTGGACGATGCTGCTTGCTTGGAGTTTGCCAGTAGAAAATTTGCTGTGGACTTAAAAGTATTTTGTTTATAAACACTTTGTGTTTTATAGGCACAGTAAGATGTTGTGCTATATGGATTGGAAAAAAAAAACAAAAGAGGCGTAATTCAGTGCTTCTGTTATAAAGAGTAACATTTGCCTTCCAACTAATAAGAATCCGTATTCATAGATCTGTGTGTCAGGACACCACTACTCACACATGCACTTACACACGTACCCCACACATCCTCCCTTACTGTGCATATTTGTCATTCTGTCTGTCTGAGACGACGTGGTGGTTTAATTCTCAATGTTGCTCGTTGTGTTTTCACTGCTGGATTGACTGCTTGATTTAGGCCACAGCTGTTCCTGAAGTTCCTTGACTACTTTTTCCAAGTGTTCTCGAGCCTCCCTCTCATGCATCAGGTCAGCTCGGAGCTGCTCCCTGTCAGCCTCTGCGTGCTGAAGCTTAACCTGTAGGTCCTCAATCTGGAGAAAAGAAAAACCAGACGTGAAACTACCAAAGTGGAGGTAAGGAAAAGAATTCTCTTTTTCCCTACTTTGTTTCCATACGCTATTCTGCAATTATCCAAGTGCATTACACAAACTGTTTAGCTTAGAAATTCTTAAATACTTCTGATGTATTTTTGTATCAGCTGCAGTACCCTCACAAATAGGAACCTGTTAAACTTCTCCCATTAAACATGGGGAACTGCAAAGAGGCACCTGTGGATTTTCAAAGCTCTGTTCAGCCTGTGAGGAATTCTACTTATCTGCACTTGTTGCCTTGGTTTTTTGGGGTTTTTTTTTCCTGCTAAAGTGGAAGTGAGCTGCAGGTAACGCCCAGAGCAGCCGTTCTCAATCTGGTTATGTTTAGTCTGGACACCTCTTATCAGTGAGACATCCTGTGATGCTGGAGAGGAAGCCCACATCATTTCCTGCTTCTGGTCTCCAGTTAGACGTGTCTCACAGTGGTAACAAGTGAACCACTCCCCTTCCCGTTATTGAGAGCCTGGGTTAGACAAATTTCTGATTTCTATTGCTTTTTCTTTTCCTTTTTCCTTCTTCCTTAAAGTAACCACATCAAGTATTTGTATCTTGTGCTTTGGGCATAGCAATGCCTTCATAAAGTGTGTGCACCTACCAGCAGGCACAGCAGAAACACAGCTACAGTAAATGTGATCTAGAAGAACTCCCTTTACCATTAGCACAGGTGCAGGCAAGTTAAGCGAATGTATGATGATACTGTGTGGCAGCTGCACGTGGTACACATCTCCTGTGTGCAGCAGTTTAAATTTAGGCAAGTGTGCCCCATTTTCCTGAAACTTTCTGTGGCTAACTCCTGGCTCATGCCTCTTATTTACGATGCAGCAAGGAAATGGCCTTAAGGCTGTCATCTGAAATCTCTATCAAGGCCAGGGGCTCTCTGTATGTGAGGTGTGGGTTGTGAATATGGGACCATGTTCTTCTGTAGGAAATGTATTACTGGGGAACTGGGATTCTTTTTTTTGGAGGAAGGGGAAGGCAGGGCACGCAGTGGATTGCTTTTCAGTGCTGTTTCTCAGGGCAGCCTCCTGGATTTCCTTTCTAACTCAGCTTAGCCTGCTGGGCTGGGTTATTTCAGAGGTTGAACAGTGAACTGCCTTGCATCCCACATGTCCTGCAACAGCAAGACACAACAAGGTGATTTAAGGACGTGAAGCCTGAGCTCTTGGGTCACTGCTGGACTTTGGTTGCTTTAAATAAACAGTAAAATAATTTCTTATATAAGAATCTAGTGAAGAAAGGGCAGGGAAGGATTTTTAATTCAAAGCTTTAAGCATACACCTTACATGTAATGGCATGTTCCTGCATTCCAGGAACTATCCTGAAGTGACTGCCTATTGTGTACTGTACTGAAATGGATCTCTAAGCACTGGCACAGCCAACAGAGTATTAGTGGAACTGAAGTAATGTCTTAGTCTTGTTGTCTTAGTTGCCCGTAAACAGTAATTTTTAACAGACAAATGTGTGAAGTTCAGGGCAGAACTCACCTGAACTGAAGTTCAGGCAAGTTAGTAAGCCCTGAATTAGGACCAGGGATGTAAATTGACACGATAGGGACACAGACATTATATAGATAAGAGCTGGACTTCATCAAATTAGACAAAATGAGGCCAGTTGGCATCTGAGAAAATACAGACACAATCTAGTGCTGAGAAGTGCACAGTCAGTGGGTTTGCTTGCTGTCAGTGTTGAGGTCTTACCTGGGCAGAGTACTTGGCCCGAAGCCTGCCAGCTTCACAACCCTTGTCGCAAACCCGGATCTGCCTGGCTTGTTCCAGCTCCCTCTTTAGCCGTATCCGAGACTCGTTGGCTTCCTTCATTTTCTTCTCATTCTCAGCTCTCAGACGCTCAATCTCTTTCCTCAAGTTGCGCTTTGCCTCTGTTGCTTCTCTCAGTTTCTCCTTCTTTGCCACTCTTAGGAACTCCAGCTCCTACAACACACCAGCAGTAAACGTGAGAACTGAGGGGCAGAGGCTGAATTAGTGCAAATGCCATATTTAACTGAAGACAGCAAAGAGGCACAACGTGGTGATATGTGCTGTTTGTGAATGTTCTTTGTGTGCAGCAAAGCTGAACAAGGAAACTTATTGCTTGCTGAAGAAATCCATAGGCAGATCCATTTTGTCAACCCCCACCAGAATACTTTGGGTAAGCCTGAGAAAAAGCAAATTGTGAATATTCCTTCTAATGGAAAGGAACTCTGTTCTGCTGTTGGTAAGCGGTGTGCAGCCCTACCTCTCCTGGCTCCCAGCCAGCAGGCTGCTCTGTCACAGCTCTTGGGAAATCCCAGGCTAAAACCTTCAACTGAGTGCAGACTGTGCTTTGCTTTGCTCTGGGAACTGCCACCTCTCTCAGAAGTTGTCAAAAAGTTGTTAGAAGACGAGTCCCTCAGCATGCTTTGAAAAACATGGCTGACCAAAGGCCAGTCTCCCAAATGGTTAAATTAGGAACTTTTTTTTTTCTTTTTTTTTTTCAGAAGCAGCATTTCCTCCCTGTCAGACACAACCCTCACAGCAGCATGTTTCTGTTAAGTACCACTGCAGTCGGGTCATGGGAAATTCACTCTTCTGACAATCTCACTTCCTATCCAGGCCATTGTTAGCTCAGCCCTGCCTCTGGAAGCATGCACAAATGTATTTGCTCTGTATGTGGAACTGGAAGCCCACAGCTGCCCAAATGGAAAAGGATGGTTAGGATAAGTTCTTCTACCATGTGCTGGATTTAATGCCTCAAAGCTCAGTTCTGCTGCTTCATCACTTACTTACCTGATATAACTCCTATTTTACTTTAACTATACACTGTGTATGTAGTTAACAAGTTTAGCAGTTAGCTTCAAGTATATATACTTAAATACTTCTAAACATTTTTAATTTTAAATGCATAACATGAAGCAGATTCACTGAAATGCAAAGGAATGAAGTGATTGATTTTGCACAAAGTGATGAAGAACAAAAAAAGCAGCTCTGTGGAAAAGACAGTGCTCAGTCTCCCTTCTCCAGGACCTGGCTTGCAGCTTGCACAGAACAAGCCATCTGCACATAAGAAGTATTCAGCACAGGGAGCTCTGCTGTAACAAAGCTCTGCAAGAATCTGAGTGGGTAAATTTCATTACAACTCTGTGATCCTATCTATGCACTTCACAATCTGACTTTTTCACCTCCTCTTACTTGCTAGTAGAAAATCTCGACTCTGAGTTGTTTGTTTTTCCAGTTTTTAACACAGCAGTGATGTTGCACACAAATTATGTCCCTGAGCTGCTGTCCTCCGTTTCGTTCCTCAAAGAAAAGCCAGACTGCATCCACCTGCTCTTGACCAATGGTACAGATACCAGTGCTCTGTCTCCTGGGCCCTGCTTTACAGCTGACACCCCACAGCTATCTCATGGATTACACTTCTAGCTTGGTTCCAGCTCCACAAACAATATTCAAAGAGGACAGGCAAAGCTTCTAATCTGGTGCTCTCTTGCATTCCTATGTCCTAATTCTGCTCTATCTCCAATAAAATAGAAGTTCACCCACCATTCTGTGCAGCCACTGTGATTTGATAATGGCCACGTTATCTCCAACTTTTTTTGTCTGACTACTTCCTGATGCACCTGGGATTTACAGAAATAAGGAGTTTCTCCACTGGATGAAGCAGGAGAGCTGCAGTTCAGTTCTTCATGAGAGCTTGGGCAGGCGTCTCCCAAGAACCCCTCCCTCCAGCAGCTGGGCAATGGCAGGACTTTTGAAAATCTTTTAAACTATGAGTAAAAGCTCCAAAATGACAGAGATGTTTCTAGTTCAGTGAAATTAAAATAAAATAAACTGTGCTGGGATAGAAGATTTTTTCAGTAAAAGAAAAATGTTGATTTTGGTAACCATGGATTTATCCTCTAAAGCAAAAACAGGTGGCAAGCTTAAAAAAAAAAGTAAGAATGGTTCCTGTATACTTTGGTTTCCCAGCTGAATTTACGAAACGTTCTCCAGTAAAGGCTGTTGCTATTTGGGAAAAATGAGGCAATTCTTTCTAACATGAGACAACTTAATGGTTTCTATCTGGAAGAGCATCTGCAGACAGCGATAAGAGAAAGCTATTCTTCAACGTTACCTGATGTAGGCTGCGTTTGGCTTGCAAGGCAGCATTTAGCTTCTCTTCCTGCTTCACTCTCATTTTAACAACTTCATGGAGGAATTTTTCTTTGGCTTCTTTTGTATCTAGGCCACTGTCCAGGGCCTGCCTTAGGTGCTCCAGCTCAGCTTCCAACCCACTGCTGTGAGAGTCAGAATGTGCTGCAACCTCATATGAACTGTTGACTGGGACTGGGGCTTGCATCCCAGGTGAGCTCATGTCCTTTGCAGAGCTGGATGAAGTAAAGGATGGGGAGGAGAGCGAGGATAAGGAGGAGGTGACTGAAAAATAGAAACATCTAAAATTAATATTAAAAAAATGTAGAAAACAAACGTAACTCAAAATATGCTGAGCCCCATTTCTACAGAGGAGACAGTCAGCAGTCAATGAAAAAATGGAAGAAAGAAAATACTCGTTTTATACTTTGAAGTGTGATGAAAATGCAAACCTGGGTATCTTAGAGAACCAACTTATTTGCTTGAATTGTGATTTTGTCTTACATCACAAATCTACATGATCCTGACATTTTCAGTGGGCAGACCCTCTTACTTTGCCAAAACTGTACACAGCAGGTATGGACTGAACATACTGAGATCAGCAGCAGGATTCTCTAAAGGATACATTGGAAAGGCAACAGTAGTATCTTCATCCTTCACTGAGGGGCCCAAGATGTCAGTACTGTCTAAGAGCATTCCAGCTCCTGATCCCTGCCTTATGTGTTGAGCTGCATGGATGTAGTTCTGAAACTACAACTGCACTCTCTGGCTGACATAAAATTCCATGCTTAGAAGTGTGTGTGCATTGCTGTGGGTTACGTGTTCATACACCACAAAGACTTTGCTCTGAACTACACATCCATTATGTTCACCTCTGCACAACACTTACCTGCTTTAACTAAAGGCTGTCTGTTTTAATGAAAATCTCTTGGTTTGTGGACCCCTGTGGTTCAGATATTTTTTGCTGATGCACCTCTGTTCCTGCCCCAGGAGAACACTCCCTCAATTTACATTCCATTCTCATTTTTCACTATTACAAACTTTTCATTAGTACCAAAGACTGTATCTTAATGTGCCATTGAGGTATCAGGCCTCCAGAATCATGTTGGAACGCAACGGAGTTGTGCGTTGTGAGCCAACTCCTGGAGGTTAACCAGAGGAAAACAGCGCACAAATAAAACAAGGCAGATACACACTTACATTCCTCCCTGGTTTCTACTTCAATTTCTGCTTCTGATTCCTTATCCTCTTCAGGCGCAGTAACAGTGGCCACTGGCTCTGGGACAGCCGGGGTCTCTGCAGCATGTTTCCTTTTCCGTGGCTGTGCGGCGCTGCTGGGCGGCTCGCTGCTGCGGGACACCACTGTGGCACAGGGTGGATTGCTCACAACTTTCTGTTGGGCAGGAGGTGCGAGGGCCACGTTGGGAGCCACAGCATTCTCAAAGCTTTTGTAGGAGTAAAAACTGCTTGAGAGGGGGAGGCAAAAGGAAGGAGAAAAGAGTCATATTCCTGACTTTAAAAGCCTTCCCAATCCATGTGTTACACTGAAACTGCAAGACTGACTGAGTGATGGTGAAGTTCCACCGATTCACACCAGCTAAGAATCTGGCTATTTGTTAAGTACTCGATTAAATGTGGAGGGGATTTTTACTGCTAACTCCCATCCAGGTCAGGAGGGATCATGTACTCTGAGTACCAAGCTCTCCCAGAGTCTAAAAATGATGCTGTTTCCTCACAGTCTTTGTGCATTATTGATTTTCCTAACTGGACTTCTTTACTTCTGTCTATCCATAAATGTTTTGTAAGCTTGGAAACAGCTTCCCTGCAAAGGCCACAGCAGACAAGAAGTGTATCCTTGTGCACCTTTGCTTTCTTGACACAGAATGCATCTGAGTACTTGCACATAAAACCACATTAAAAAATAACTATGTTAAAGAAATAATACTGTAACATTAAATAGAAAGAATGTAGCAGGAAAGGCATCAAAGATGGCCTTGCAGCTTCAACTCAGCATGTACAATACAAAGTATCTTCAGTTACCTATTAAAACAGGGGAATTTGCTGAAGGTCTAAGTATTTTTTCTCCAGACTTGAGGTGCCCAAAGGCCTACTCTGATATTTGCTCAGCCCTTCTCTCCCAGCCTACTTCAACAATTCTGTTTAAAGGCAAGGATATGATGGTAGGCCTCTTTTTTTTTTCCCTATTTTTTTTAAATAAACCCCCACACCATCTGAGAAACTTGTTCATCGCAGCAGCAAAACTTTTCTCCCCAACATCACTACAACACCTGGCAACTTCCATCAAACTTTCCGAAGAAACCACTACCCTGAGGCAGAAATCTGGCACCAAGGGTTTTCAGACTGAAAGCTATGAAGGCTGGCAAGGGAACGTGTGACTGCCCTGATGCTTTCTGTGACACCAGCAGCCCCTCCTGTTACGGATGGTGACTCACTCTTGCAGCAGCTCAATCATGCTGCTACTCAAGAGCAGCTAACAGCACCAGCTTGCTTTCTGACAGGGCTCACACCAGGAGTTTCCCCCGGGCTCTGCTGCCCAACATGCTGCCATGAGCTCCCCCAGCCACGTGCCATCCATGGGCAGGCTGTGCTGCTGTCCTCACACCTCCGTCCTCTTCTGCCAGCACAGGAGGGGCACAGCAGGGCTGGCAGCCTGTTGACCAGGCAGTGCTTCAGCAGTCACCTGGAAATGGCTGGCTGCTTCCTACCAACTGTCCCAAGAGAGGAACTCAGTCTTTCTTTACACAGCCTGAGAACTTCTGATAACTGCTCCCCAAAATCATCTGAAGTTCATGGAAGCAGCCATCATTTCAGATTTTTATGGTACATTTCACCTAAGGGAGCCTACTTAACAAACACGATTAATGAGTGCACACAACACCAATAATATTTTTGTTTCCTTTCTGCTAACTAAAACACTGCAGCTGCAAATACTTTTTATTCCAATACTGGTGAGGTAACAACTAACAAACAATGCAATACAGCTAACAGAAAGCAACTTGCTCACCAATTACTCTCTACAGTTGCCATCCCCATTCCTCCCTCAGCTCCTTACCTGTCTCGGATCAATGCAGGAAGATGGCTTGAGAGCTCTTTCTCATTTGCTGATACAGCAGGGGACCAGGGCCGGAAAGCTGAGAGGCGCTGACGGGGATGGACACAGCCAATGCTCTGGGAAGGAGGAGAACAAAAAATAAGTACAAACCATCTTTAAAAAGAATTATTCCCAACAGGGCACTAATAATTTGGTTAAGTACATGTTCTCTTATCTCTAAAGCTGCTCCCCCACTGGCTAAGGCCTACTGGCTTAGCGGGTTCCACTGGAAGAGGTAACTCTACCAATGAGAAAGCCCACGTTTTTTTCTTTGCCAACAACTTATCCATGGTTTGCACAGACCACATGAGGCTCCTGAGTTTCAGGATTCTTGTACCTCAAAGGCATGAAGGAATTGCTTACTCCATCAGCACAATCAAGGTCAGTGAACACTGGAAGATGGCAAGGAAATTGGGAGGACCGCATAGCTCAATGCTTGCTAGGAAAAGGATAGAAATGTGATTAATTTAGAAAGCCTGGGCAAGGTCTTTCTCACATTAACTCTTCTGGTTTTATTAGAGGGATGTTACACGCTAATTTTCTCTTTTGATTACAAAATACTCAGCAATCACCTTATTAGATGAACTGGATAAGGACCGTAACCAACTGGACTGCTTTTCCTTCTCAGTAGAAGCTGGAGATTGGGAAGCAGAGTCATCTATTTTGGTTTTCTTGGAAGCAGGAGGATCTGAAGGGACCTAAAGAGAAAAAATCAAAGACAGTTATTAATTCTGCAATCAGTTTAGAAACAAGATATAAAGTAAAAGCAAATTTTGTATCTGAATGTAAGAAACATCACTTTTTCCTGCATTTTTAATTCTTAGGAACAACAGAGGAGTGAAAACATGGGACAGGCACAAATTACAACATAACGTGGTTTCATTCCTCCATTTAAAACACCAGGTAAAGCGTAGGTGGTGCAGGAGTGACAGGCAGAAATGTGAGACATTCACACCATGTTGCAAAGAAGTATCTGCCTTTTATTATTTTTGTATGCAGAAAGGTAAGTTTTAATGTGGTTGCTGAACTGGAAAGATTATTTTAAACGAGAACAGAACAGACTTTGTTATTCTGTTTGCAGTGGTTGTTATGCCGATGACTTCACTACCCCACAGCTGCAGTGGATTCTGGGGGTGCTGCCAAGAGCTGCTTTGCCTTTTCCACAAGTGGCTCAGCTTGGCCCATAAATCATCCCCAAGCATAAGAAAGCCCTTTGGCAAGCAAAACCCCTTTCCTTCAACACTGTGAAGGAATAAAATTCCTATAGTCCCAGAGTGGCTTGCAAAAAAATTGGTAACTACTGGTTTAACTGGTGCACTGGGGACACCAGCTTGAAGCCCTGCCAGTACAAACTCGTCTGCCGGCAAGGAGGGAGAAGGTTCTGGACCTTGCTCTGCACCATGGCTACAAATCACAAGAGCAATACACTGCCTCGCTTTCTCTTCCATCTTCTCGTCTTTCTTCTCGCAGTTCTGAGCTCTGTGTTTCCATCAGTCTGAGTGAGGTGGCAGAGCCATGCTGAAGAACCACCAGTAGCTCATCTTTGCGTTACATTTTCCCAGCCCAACATTCAGTTTTTGTACACAAGCAGTTATGCTCCTTTTACAGACACACCTGTATGGCAAAATTTTGAGAGCCCAGAATGCTTCAAGGAGAGGATTGGATGGTGATAGAAGGTTAGGACCTCACTGGTCAGCATCTCGCTTTCTGAAAACCAGTCTTTTCAAGGCATCTTAAGCTGGGAATTCTGAGACTGCTTCTCCAAATTGTTATTCACACCTGAAAATGGTGACTTTACCCAAATACACGAGGAACTGAAGCAGTGTTGCTAAACTGCACTGATTCAGACTCCCAGCTGACTTCCAGGCCCATGAAACCAGAGCAATTCCATCCCTTCTGCACACCTTAATTAGGAGGAAATTTTGACATGTACGAGAACAGCCTGCTCCTTGCATGGAAGCAGGGCAGCAGTGTGAATATCCAGCTCATGCCAGTTCATCTGGCAGCACGCACACTCCTAGGGCTTCTATAGCCCAGTGTGCATAGCAACATAATCAAACCAAGTCTGGAGGTTTTAGTAAAACATTCCCTGGCACTCTGGAGCTCGGGGCAGCTTTCCATATGTAGCAGATGAAGTAGAATGACATGGGTGTGTATATGTGTAACCGCAAGTACAAAATTAGCCCGTACCAGTGCTAAATGCCAGCTTCGATGGATTTGCAAAGAATTCTTGCAGCACAGCCTCAGGCTCACTTAGGGTTGACTCCGGCACCTCCCATCCAACCCAACCGAGAGAAGGCATTTCTGAGTGCTTTTTGTAGAAATCACAGGACAATGCACTGGAACAGATCTGTTTCTTGCTTTCAGAGATGCTGTCTGTGCAGAATTAGTGACAGCATTCGAAAGGTATTTGGCAAGTGACTGCCGATCCCAGCCCTATCCACTGGGGATGGTGAGCGGCGTGGGGAGGGGAGCAGCGCTGGAGGGCGGGGAGGAGGAAGGGGGCTTGGAATGGGAACGGCAACAGGTGGTGGGGCTCACAGAGCCTCCTTCCCCCCACCCGCTGCCTTCGTGCCCCTCGGCACCTCCCAGTTGGAGCCGGACCCGGACTCGTCCCCGCACCGAGCGTCAAGCAGCGGCTCAGGGAGAGGCGGGTTCAGAAGGGGCTGGAGGGGAGAGATTTAACTAGAATGATCTCATTTGCATCTTTAAAGAAATCGTGCCTCCTCTCCAGCTTTCTCCACCGTCACCCTTCTTTTCTCTTAAATCGAGGCTGACATCCGAGGTTCAGGAGGGCTCAGAGCACAAAAAAAGCAGCAGACGTGGGAAGGATGCTTAACCTTTTGTTGCCAGGAGCCAGCACCGATCTGACAGCGTGGGATGCTGCGAGGAGTAAAGCAGTAAATGTGTGCATGGGGAGAAACGGTTTTACCCTCCCCACAAAGAGATGAAAACAAGGTGAAAAAACGGGGAAAGGAGACAGGTGCTCAACAGGGCACACAGCTCCAACACTCATCTCCCATCGCAGGGCTCAGCAGCACTGCTAACAAACTGGTGCTGTGTGGCACAGCTCACCAATGGGACTCAGTCACACCTGAGCTGCTGTGATGACCTCGCACACTTTTCTTTCCACTCTGCCCCGTTCTATCTATGCACATCTCACATCCTGCACCTCACGCTTAAAACAATCTTTGGGTTCCATTTCAGCAGTGCCAAAATTCTCGCTTTCACATGCTATGAAACGCTCAGGCAATCCATGCTGCTGCTCCTCCAAACACGGAGGTCGGTGTCCAGGAGCCTCAGTCACAGGAGGGGTCGCTGCCCCACTGCACTGCCTGCTGCACACCCCATCCCACGGATGCACTTCACACAACTTTCTGCCATCTTTTGTAAATGGCTCATCAAAAACTTCAAACCAAACCCTGCAAAACCAGAATAAATATTTCCTTATTTTCTTCCTTGATTTCTCTTCCATTCCAAGCAACTTGGGGACTTGTTACTAACCAGGCTTTTATTTGGCAATCTGAAATCCATAGAGAAAAGAAACTCACTGATAGAAAGTGGGCCCAGAAATATAATATGAAGCGTTTCCTTAAGCTTTCAGACTGTTGTTTTCTAAAGCAAATGACATTTTGAGGGGGAAAAACATATGGAAAGATTTATAATATTCCCTAATTTTTATTATTATTTTTAAAGTAAATTCCAAAGGGAAACTTGGGCATGTGAACTTCAATGTTATCCCTTTTAAGACAAACTGATACTAAGCAGCCTAATTTGGCCTCCAGCCAACCAGGGCCACGTTGGACATGTCAGATCAAATTTTCTGGTTCAATTCAGTAATACAGTAACAAAGCACGAAACCAGCAGAAAGCATTTCTGACCCCGTACCTCTCTGACTGCCTTCCTGGCACACACTATCAGGGTGGAAGTGGCTGACCAGGAGGCACAGCCAGCTCAGCGGGTGAGAGAAGGCAAAGCTGGGCCCAGAAAAAAATGCTTTGCTTTGGTGATTTGGGCTGTTCACGGATGTGATTGCTGGTGCCTGTGGATTTACCAAATACACTCCCGAAGCAATCTGCTGCCTTCCCCTACCTTATTTCCAGCTCTGCAGGGGCTGGGCTGGGTGCCTGGCTCGTGTTCTCTGAGCCCTTCTCTCCTGGCTCTGCTGCACTCAGCGACTGCCGCATCTTCGGGCCGCTCTGTGCTGCGAGCTGCCATCCACTAGGGGATAAGCTAAGACCACTGAGAACAGGACAGTGCTCCCCTGGGAAGGAGCTGAGTGCCAGCCAAATGCTGCAGAATGGCCAAGTCAGTGGAACCACACAGAACACCACGGGCTCGCTGCCACCCAGCCTGGCTGACTCCTGTGCTCACTGGCTGGAAATGATGTTCCCGCATCAGAAGTCCCCACGTAGCGTCCTTATAAAGGTTTGTCCATCCTCACCGTTGATTTGATGTCCTCAAAAGCTATCCCAATACACAGAACTCTGTATTTCAGTCTCTCAAGAAAAAGAATTTGGGAAATATCTAGAAGCTGAAGAACTCAATTTCGTATTTCTACCTCTCGTGGAAGTCAGAAGCATCTCAACTGAAAACCCTACCGCTAAAAAAGCCTGCAAACCCAGAATAGGCAAAATAAAAACTGGGCTCTCAATCTATAGATAGATGCTGTCATTTGTTCAAGCTATCGCTTCTGCTAGGAGTTCACGCAAACAGCTGAGTTCGGTTACACCAGGAGGAAGGGTGGGGCTTCCTGCCTCCTCTGATGCTCGCCTGGCTGTGAAAATCAAGCAGCTTTCTCATTAGGGGCACAAACCACAAGACCAGACGCCGGTCTGATACAATGTGCAGAAACCCCAGAGATAGACTGCTTGGGTTCAAAACGTGTCAGACATCCGAAGAACACATTAAAAATGAAAGAGCAGCGCTTGTGGTGAGCACACGGAATGCCCTGCTGGCACCTGGGTGCCACAGCCCTGCTTGTGGCACAGCCTGAGCTCACCAGGTCTGTGCCTGAGGGCCCAGGGTCTCCCACTGACCCTGTGAGTCTCTGCTGAACCGTTACCTGCTTGCTCTTTGGTGTGCTTCTCCTGTCCTGCTCTGGACCACCTCAGCTCAGATTTTACCCCAAGGGAACATGAAATTGAGGCAAAGTCCTGAAACAGCAACTATCCTCCAGAGCAGTGCAGGCCCTGCTGCAATGAACACACCTGCACCAGAGGTTGTGCCAATTATGAAGGGCCAACCTACCACCTGTTATCAGTCTAATGTTACTTTTTGGGTGAGCTGGACAAGACAGGTGGTTTAGTAGAGGACACGGGCAGAGCGCGCGCAAAGAAGGGCTTGGGACCCCAAGTTTTGCTACCAGTTGAGCCTCCCCTAGGAAGCTAACTCTAATTCTGTTCCACTTCAAAAAATGTGTCAAGAATAAAACGCTAGACAGTAAAAATATTCCAGTCAAAAGAACAGAGGGCTTCCCAATATCCCATTTTTCATAGCTCTGGTGATGCACATGCTCCCACTTTGCCCCTCCATTTGGGGACACACAATCACAGGCAGCAGTCACCTCACCTCTCTCCAGAGCACATCTGTCAGGCACAGCACAGAGTGTGAGCCTGCCTGGAGCCCAGCTTCCCCTGACCTCGTGCTGCCCATCCCAAAGGGAGATCTTGTGCACAGGGCAGCTCGTACTGCTCTG